CGAGCCGCGCGCGACCTGAAACCCCAAATGGCCCCAAACCCTAGCTTTCTAGCCCAGAACCATAACTCGTACCGTATCCAGCGCCCTAGCATTGCAAGTTCTTTGCTCCAAAAGCCTTACAGATCCAACCTTGGAGCCTCTACACTCAAGTCTTTGGGGCTCTACACTATGAGCCTTTCTTGTTAAGAGTGTAGGGTCTGGGGCTTAGGGTTCAGGGTTCATGGCTTAGGGTTCTGGAATCTACAGCGTGCTTTTCGTCCGGAGATCCTGACACAAGCCCCTAAAACCGAGACTACAAAACAACCTTTCATATGCCACCCAAACCCGTAGTCTGCTTACGCAGGGCCCAACTCTAAACCCTAGGTTGAAATCCTAGACTCCTAGATCCTTAAACCCTATTACAGTAAGGATCAACAACCACATCTCCTGCCGGCTGGATCAGCGCCTCTGTGGTGGGCTCTCCCTTGCGCTCTTCCGAAAGGCTGGTTTAGGGTTTAGGGGTGCGTGTGGCGTTTAGGGCTTTCGCGGTTTGGGGGTTAGGGTTTACAGGGGTTTTGGGTATAGGAGGCATCGGATTCGGGCGGGGCTTTTATAACCGAGGTTTTCGTTGTAAGGCTAGGGGATCTGGATTTCGGCTATGACTGCTACGAATTACATAAACTCTAATGTAGACGCCTGGTGGCTGAATCCGCTCCCCCTTGCAGGTATGTGGGTGGTTGTCAAAATGGGGTCCCTCATTGGTCCTTAACATATTACGCACCTATAATATTTAGGGTACCCAAAAAGGGACCCCAATTTTGACAACCACTCATGTACAGTTACAAAGGGAATACAGTAACTCGGGATCCTTCGCATTAACTGTCTACAGCTCTCCAAAGCTTGATGCTCTCCCCCTGCCCACCATAAGCACGCTGCGAACCCACCACTGACCTCAAAAGCCCAAAACCATGACCTATGGGCTCAGAACGAAATCTCCCGGAGCTGAGCATCAGCCCTGAAATGCCGGGGAGCACCTGAAGCTCAAAGGTCTATGCACAGCCCTTCCAAGATGGTCTGAGGCCCCTCAAAGCCCTAGACCCCTGAATCCCAGAGCAACAACCCCCAACTCGACCCTAAACCCTGAACCCCGAAACCCTAAGCCCTAAACCCCTAAACCCCTAAACCCAAAAACGTTGTTGTTCCAGGCCCAAAGGCTTCCTTCTGCAAAGCTCCAGGCAGCTTGAGGGTTTGGAAAATTCCGTTTGGACCTCGTGAGTTTGGGTTTCGGGTTTAGGGTTTAGGGTTTACGGTTGAGGGTTTAGGGTTTAGGGTTACTTGTGGAGGAAGGTTCATGTGGGGCTTGGGTTTTCAAGTTTCGAGTTTGGGGGGCTCAGGGTTTCAGGGACCAGAGTTCAGGCTTTGGAGTTGAAGAATTTTTGGGGCTTCGGCTTTTTGCTGAGGTTTGCAGGTTGCGGCACTGTGGAAGCGGACTAGTGCAGGTTGGGGGGCGAGCTAGGAAGCCTGGACATTTTAAGCGCTCCCGCAGTCCATCAAGGCCTAACACATTCACTAGAGCTCCCACCGAAGCCTGTGCGACAATTGTAGGGTCTCAGCAGGTTGTCGATCTCGTCTGTTTTCTTACGATTCGTTTATACTTAGCACAGAAGGAATTCCCAAACTAAGTATAATGTTTCCAGAATGATGCACTAGGTCCCCTCGGCATGTTATCCAGTTTTGGGATTCTGAGTCTGACGGGACTGGCAAGGTCGATCAGGAGAAGGATGAAGAGACAGCCAAGAACTCAGGTGGGCAAACGGAGCAGGGCATGGTGACCGACTCTACCTAGGTTCCCCAGTACTACCCTTTTGCTCTTTTTCTTTTTGGGGAATTTAAAACCAAATAGTGGGAAAAAGGGTACCCTAATTATTAGGGGGCTATCGGGGAACCCAGCTACTCCGCCGCCCCCACACGCTCTAGACCGCAGTTGAGTGCTTGAGACATCCTCCACACCAAGGCCCAAGCACTGAATCAGGAAGATCCAATGCTGCCATAGCTTTAGCCCAGTCTGGCATTTAGGGAAGGGCATAAAGTTCGACAGCTCGATGAGAAGAAGAGGAGCGTTGTAGTAGCTCTTCAGGGGTAGCATGCTTGGGATCGTGGGATCGGCGCGCAGCTAGGTTTTTGCGTTGATGGTACTAGGTGCCGAAATAATTACCAATACAATGCCTTCGAGCCCCTTGTCATAATGGTATGCTATACTCCGAAACCCTTTTCTAATCATAGTGAAGGCCACCAAACTGTGTTGTTCGGGACTGCTTGAGCATTGCCGAGCAAGCCAGTGGGGCTCGCTCTCAAAGGCTTTCCGGGTTTAGTGTTGATCATGGTTTGGTGTGTTGATTTCAAGACGTTCCATTGTTGCAGTCACGTGTCTACACTGAGTGCCATTTCTGCAGGCATAGCTGCTTGAGATTTGCCAGAGACACGAATGCAATGTGGAGCTAAGTCCAAAGTCACCTTCCGTATGCAGGGATCTGTTTGGACTGCCATCGGTTTTTCATATCCTTGAGTACTCAAGCCTTGAACTTTCGTAAACAAGGATTGCCCTTGCCCTGACAGGTGCTCTTATCCACATGATGCAAGCAGATCTTATGACCCTGGTCAACTACGACGTGAACACGAATCTGCAAGGCCAGTCACTCAGAGTACTGGTTCGACTTAGGGTGTATAGTCTGATATCATGAAGCCTGTCGTGATACCGCTGATGGCGAGTGTCGATGCGATCCTCGCCATTATGGTTTTCATCTTCCTCTTATCACCACAGCCATCCACAGCGTAATCACGAGCACCATCACGCGCATCGAGTCTCGGCTCGAGGCCACGATCCCAACGAACTTCGTCTTTCCCGGCAGTCCTTAATGATCGTGCTGATAATACTGCTGGTCCGTGCCATCATGATGATGATGGCCGAGAGGTTGGTAGCACCTTCAACATCATCCACAAGATCAGCTCTATCATCATGCCACGTAACCGTCATGAGCACAATCACATTGTCATTTTCATGTTATCCAGCCCTGTCTGCATCTTCCTTATCACTACCACAAACGCATTAGCCATCCCATGCTTGAGGCTGAGCTTATGCTTGCTGTCAGTCGACAGAAATGGAGCTGACCGTCATTATCATTATCATTTTATCATCATAACCATCACTTTCTCCATTGTGCTCTTGGCCCCTGCCACTGCAAGCTGCCGGCGGCACAGATTGCCTGAGAGGCTTCTACGTTCAGCTCTGCATGTGCGTGAACTCCACGATCTCTGTGATTGTTTTGCCCCTTGGGACATGGGACGTAGTAAGTAGGCTTATAAGTACCTTAATTGGGGTTATAAGTAGATATGACCATCAGTTACCTTTCTAAATAACCCTATACCCTAAACCTTAAACCCTAAACCCTGAACCTATACTTGCTAAGTCAGCATTCAGAATGCCAACTTCAACACTCAAAGCTGGAAGCGAAACCGCTTCAATGAAACTCGGGGTACCCTGAAGCTTACTCGAGCAGGCTTGGAAGCCTTTGGTTTCTCTACAATACGGTTGATGATAGAAATTCTGGATTACCCATAAGAAGGAATATACCATAATTTCCACAGTTTGGGGTCCTTAAGGTAATGCAGGATTGAGATCATCAACCGTAGTGCAAGATCGGAGTGTAAGCCGAAGGCTGACTCTCTAAGGTCTGACTAGGACGTGTCAACGGAAGATGGGCTTTCGATACTAATTCATCGCTGCACGTTCAGGGATAGCCCTGTAAGGCTCACAGCACAGCCTTCATGCTCAAGATTACGAGGATGATGAAAATGACCCTAAACCCTGTAGCCCTAAACGCAGAAGCCCCAGGTTAATCCTGTTGTGGAACCGGCTTGGCTTGGCAACCCTCTGCGCCGCCGCGGTCGCCGTGCCAGTGGTGTGGTTATCGTTGTGGATGAGTGCCATGGCATGCAGATCTCATGATGCGAGCTAGATCTAGAAGTGATACCGGGCATACCGGGCAAGAAATGGTACGACAGCAACCTGCAAAGAACCCCGAAGCCGCACCCCAATGTGAGTATCCAATTCAAGCGTCGCAGGTTCACGAGGCGAAGTCGAAGAGGGCTCTAGTTCAGGATTCTGGAGTTCGAGTTGGGGGTTTGGTTCCAGAAAAGCTTACTAGCGAACTCGTTGCCCTAAACAATCCCCAGAAACGAAACAAAACCCAAAACAGCGCAGAGGAAAGCCGGAGTCCGATCCTTCGGAACCCTTGCACCCGAATATAGGGGGCCTTAATACTTGGAGATAGGGTTCCTTTAAAGGGTTACTATAAGGGATCTGTAAGGGTACTATAATATCGGGGCCTTAATAAGTAGACTAGGGTTTTGGGGCCCGCTCTATAGTAATGATAAGGAGGAGCTCCCCCAAAATAGTATTGGTAATTGCTGAGGCCCCTATACTCATCCCTCGATCCTGAAGGTGCTGGTTTGGGCCATGCTTCCTTCAAGATGCAGGACTTGGAGCTTCTCTGTGGAGGTAGGGGGTCGAGGCTTTCGGGTTTCGATCTCTGGTGTGGAGCCTAACTTGGGGGCCTAAATAATTGCCACTGCTATTTTTTGTAGGTATAGTATAATGGGCCCTCAAACACAAGTATTAGGCCAAAAATTAGGCCTCTATATGAGGGTTCGGGCTTCAGGGTTTAGGGTTTCGGGTTTACGACGGTTTAGACTACACAATCGAGATCCCCATGAGCTGGCAACTCCAGCCGCCGGCATGTTTACTGTGCAGGATACAGGAGGGCTCTTCACCGCCGCACCCAACCTCAAAACCTGCAGAGCAACTGTCGCCAAACCCCGTGCACTCTGTCGTAAGCTGAAGCTTCAGAGGAGCAGGAACCCATTGAAAATTAGTTGAATCAAAGCAGCCCGAACCCTGGACCCGAAACTTGAACCTCAAAAAAAAACTTGAACCTTTAAACCCCAAAAGCGACGGCGCAGGAATGCATGGACAAGCGCGTGTCGCTGTTGCGGGAGGTGCTCTTTGGCATTCGGACGGTGAAGTGCTACGCCTGGGAGGTCAGGGTCCCTATAGAATCCCTTGGTTCATAGAGTCATAGAGTTACCGATGTTATTCCGAATTCCTCAAAGGTTCTTTATCATGACTGATTGCAGGTACTACATGACATATTTATCATTAGCTACAGGTACAAACCCGCCGAAGCCCACCGCACACTAGACTCTGCCCCCCCCCCCCTGAAAGGATGCCATGTTCAATCGCATCTCGAACTCCAGAAGGGAGGAAGTCAGGAGCTTGACGAGATACTACGGCACCTTGGACGCTGAAGTTACTGTGGGTCAGCAGATGTAGACAGCGGCCCCTAAACCCCTAAACCCTAAACGGCGTTCAAAAAGAAGTTGGTGTGGGACCGGTTTGGGGTTTAGGGTTTAGGGCAGCAGTGCAAGTTATGCAACCTAGATCTCTCGCATGCTTGTGCTCTGCCAAAAGCAGAAAGCATCGGATTCCTCGTTCCGGATTTGATAGCTCACCCATGTGTTTGCCAATGATATTATTGGGATAGTATGCAGTATGCCCCATGAAGGTTAGCTAGCGGGACTGTGCATCTTGCGTGTTGAGCATGTCTTGTGCCCGTATGAAGATGGACCCTATGCCTCTGAGCTTGCGCCTGTCGAGCTAGCACTTGGAGTAAGGGATACGCGCTTGGTAAGGTTTGAGGTTGTCTTGAAGTTCAGATTGCAGGGTGCTGGAGCTTAGAGTTCGTGGTCACCCTTAGGTTCAGGGTTCCGGGTCTACCTCAACCGATGATTCTACGATGCACCACTTCATCTACCTGAGGCTACCTCGGCGTCTTCGTGGGTCTCTTTCTGAGTTTCCCGCGCCTCCTGATCCTTTCCGGTGTCTGGGGCTACTCCGCGATTTATGGGCACCATGATGTAGCGACCATCTTCACATGCATGCAGATCCTGTCCAATCTGAAGCTTGCCTGCATCCTACAGGTTTGGGAGTTTAGTAGGCTTTTCCTGCTGGTTTTGGCTTCTGCTGGAAATAGCACTCGATGGTGACGTTGGGGGATTGTGATGTCGTATGATGTTGTGGGCGATGATGAATTGTTTCGGTTCAAAGGTGGTGTTGAGGATGTCCTTGATTCCAAAGCTGTGCAACATCGACTTCAGCTAACAGCCCCTCACCTATGTTGTTCAATGTCAAAAGCCCCTGTAAACGTGACCCACGACTCCTACGCCGAAGCCGTAATTCCTTGAACACCTACCCGCCCACGCAGCCACCCCGCCAAATCCCTGACTTCCGACCTATACCCTAAACTGGATTCCTCCTTTCTGCCAATCCACATATGGCCTAAAATGGTCACCCAAGCTCGAAGCCCTATATCCTAAACCTCAAGTTTTAACCCTACATGACCGACTAGGTACGAGCCTGCTGAAGACTACTCCGTGCATAAGGCCTATATAACCGACTCAAACCCGAAACCCTACATCGTAAACTGCAAGTCCAAATCACCAACCAGATGCACCTAAATGTCAAACCCTGAATTCCTGGTCTTCGGCTCATTACAGACAAAGGAAGAGCAACTGCGACCTCTTCACAAAGTCCTTGGGCAGGGCCATCGTTATCGGCCCAAGCATTCGGCGGATCGAGCAGTTCGCTGGCCCGAACACTGGGGAGTAAGAGGGTGGGGCTTTAGGTTGGGGTTTTAGGGGTTAAGGGTCTACAGTTGAGGCTTTGGGAGGTATGCATATAGAAAGGCTTTGCAATGGGTTTCAGGGCTTCACAGGAGTGATGTATGTCTAACACATTGCTTCCAGGGATTCTAGAGATGGGGCTGGCTGCTGGCTTGAGGGCTTGGCCGCTCTGGCTGGGTTTTCGCAACGGGCATCTAGGTTTGCAAGCCCCAAACCCCAAACCATAAACCCTGAACCCCACACCTTCATTAAACCGCAAGCCGTTCGATACCCACATCAACTCATCCAGGTTCCTGAAGATGACAGAAGCTCCTGTTCTGCCTCCGGAGAAGACTCCGGATTGGGTCAGTGCCCAGACCCGGTCTAGGGTTTAGGGGCCTTAGGGTAGTTTTGAGGCTTGTCCGCCGTAAGGGGGGGGTTTGCACAAGGCTTGCTCTGCAGTTTTGTTTCAGCCGCTGTAGTTTCTGTTTCGGGTAAAACAAAGAGAAACAAAGAGAGAGAGAGAGAGAGAGAGAGAGAGAGGAAGAGTTAAAGAGAGAGACGACAGCAGCGAGATATACCTCAAGTCGGTTGAGCTCGTCACCCTCTTCTGCAGTGCGTGGACGACCGGGCGTGTAGTAAGTAGATTTATCATGAGCATGTGCCTGCCTGCTGCCGTACTGTTTTATTTTGTTTACATCAGCGGCTCTAATTCGTGTTTTGATGAGTGTGTACAGAGCTTCGTAGGCATCTTCGTCCTCGCCGGGGCGTCCTGGTTTAGCCAGTAACCAACTCTCTCAAGCACAAGGGCCCACATCTCCTCTTTACTACTCCAGCTGACTGCAGGGCTCCAACATTCGAGGTGCAGGGATTTGTGTTTATTTTCTTGCTGAGTTTGGGGGCCTTGGTAAGGCCTGATGTGCCCAGGACCGTTGAGTAGTGACTGTCGCTTCTAAGCCCAAACTATTTTTCCTTGGATGTAGTATACATCAAATCTGTCAGCCCTCCCCTCCATTCCTTTCATTGTGCTGGAACCGAAGAGACAGCACTAAGCCTATCCACTTGTAAGAACCAAATGGGCCTGGATGAACATCAGCAGCGGGAACTCCCCGCAGTAGTAGCCATAAGGGGATCTTAAGTAAGAGACCCTGTGACTCTAGGTTTTTTCTGTCGGGAAGGTACGACCGCTGGATTTGCGTTCTGAGTCGGTTCTTTGACTGCCTATACCTAAGCCTACAGGCTCGATAGTAGTTCCTGTTTGGTTGACCAATTCTATGGTTAGGATCGCTAGCATGCTTGCTTGAATCAAGCTATAAGGACAAGCGGAGCTAGAATGGAAACTATAGATGCCCCTAAGCCCTAAAGCCTAAACCCCAACTGGAGAGACGACTCAAGGTCTTTGGCCCAGCCGGAACCTCCCAGAGACTGACCGCCCAATGCTGTCCAGCGGACCATCGGTGTCTCGGATCAACAATCAAAGGGGAAAAGGAGGGACCCTGAATGGGGATCCCTAGCCTATAATGGGCTATATAATGGGTATATAATAGCTATATTAAGGGTATATACCTAGGGGTCCTTATTAAGGGTCCCTCCATTTTACTCCTGGAAACAAGCTTTCAGGGCTTCCCAGGACCCCAGCCCAAAACCCTAAACACCCTGGAGGGTCGACAGCTCCAGTGTTGGAGGTTTGGCGCTTCTGGCTATGTTTGTCAAGACATGTCAAGACGTTGTCGGGTGAGTGGTTTCTACCAACCCGACTGTGGATTTAGGGTTGACCCTGCGAATTCCATCATAAGGCCCAGCCGCCGGACGAGCAGAAGATCAGGGATATGCCAACAAAGGTACAAACCCGAACCCTTTTCCGCTCCCCAACCCCCCGAACACAGCCCGATGGTTTCAGGCTCCAAATTCTGCAATGATGAAAGATATAGGACAACCCATCGCAGGAAGTGTGAACCGGCCGCCGAGGTCCCCGAACCCTAGAACCTACTTTAGGGGCCTAAATAGTTACCAGTACTATTTTGGGGGTTCGTTATTACAAATATAGTGTAATGGGCCCGCCCGAAACCGTATTCTGCTTCTTAAGGCCGCTATAATATATCCGTGAACTCTTGCCAGAAGCGTAGCTGGCGAAGAGAAGACCTGACGGAAAGAAGCCGAGGTGCCTTCCAGCCTGGTGGTGCGAGGCAGCTTCCGCTGGGCGCAGGACCTTCTGTCACGAAAGCTAGCTCCTAGAAAGTAGATCCCCTAATTTGGGGCCCCATACTATAGTATTTATAATTATAGGAACCCCCACGAAGGGATCTACTGTTTGGATCCTGGCGGGGGTCTGGGTGGAGCATGCGGGAGTTGTTGCTTACATAGTTCTTTCTATTGGGCCAACTACGCAAGGAAGGCCATTTTGGTTCGAGATATCAAGGACTTTGAGGTTCGCGGCCCCCCCTCCCCCCCCACCTCTGTTTGATTTTTCACACACTTCGCCTTTCCATTAAGGGTGGGTGGGGGGCCTGCCCGGGCCCCCTCCCCTCCCTTCCTTCAAGGTCCCCATCGCTTTGTCGGTGTTTTTGGTTTCAATGAGTTGAGCTATCGTGCTTGCCGTGGATGCTGGTTCTGTCATGCATGCTTATTTCCCAGAGGGTCCATAAACACTACCATTATGGAATTAGGTCCCAAAAGACCATCCCTATTATGGTTTTGGGGACTTAATTCCATAATGGTAATGTATATGGACCCTGTGGGTTTGTGGTCCATCGGAAACGCGCACCACGTTTTGCCAACCTCCGCCATGCCCTGCACGCAGCCCGCCGAATGTTTCTACTTGCTTATTCCTCTGCATTTCTACTTCTTGCCCCTAGCTTCCGTCCGCCCTGCTCTCAAGTTTCGGTTCAGAGTTTAGGGTTCATGGGTTTAGGGTTGAGGGTTTAGGCCTCAAGACCTCTTCCTTAGGATTTATTCTTCGTTGTCATGTTCATCGTTATGTGAGCCCAGCGGTTGTTAAGCGTACTGCTGTCTAAGGGGCGTATACACTATAAGCCTATACAACTTATATAGATCTAATAACCCACAAAGGGTCATAAAATCCTGTGCACTGCCGTGTCTCACGACACTCAGTTCCGGAGGACGCCCCATCGGTGCTGCACGACCTCGACCTGGAGGTGCACCCAGCTTTGAAACCTCAAGCAGTAAGTAAGAAAACTAGCAGTATCCGTGATGAAAACAACAAGCAATGCAATACTAATGATGCTGCTTTTTTTATCGCTGCGCGACTAACAATACTCAAAATGGTAGAATCAGAAACGGCATAAGCCGTTCGAGCACGCAAGAAGTTGCTACAGCGATACAAGGGCGAAGCATATTCAGAACTCGAAAAATTCTAGATGTGAGTAAACGCCGGCTCTGCATACCTACTACGGAACACGTTGTGGTCTTGGCGCTCTGTCAGAATCAGAAGATTTATTCCGATAACCTTCTAACACTGAGCCTTAAATCTAGAATGCTCAGTTGAAAGCCCTTCCACTGACAGCGAGCTCTCACGCCGGACGGAACCGAAATCACTGTAAATCCAGATTTCAGTGGCCTTTACTTCTCCCAAACCCAGGCTTAGCGAAACATGCAGGTCTGAGTCGTTTGAAGAGGAGAACAGATTC